TAAAAGGCAGAATACATACCTATACAGTGCAGAAAGGTCGCCTTCTATCTATCAAAGTCATTATATCAATATAAGCTGCCCAGTAAATGGGGTAGAAGAGTCGGACACAACTGAGCAACTGAAGAATGACAGTCTGTGGAGATGATGTGGAAAGAGGGAGACTAGTTAAGGAAGGTGCTGAAGGTTTTCAAGAGAAAGAATTACAGTGGTTTGGGCTTGGATGGCGATGATGGAGATGGAAATGAATGGATACGTTTGAAATGTATTTTGGAAGATATTAATAAAAAACTACCCAAAGGCCGTCATGTACAATACATTCTCCTTTGGCCAAAGCACACATTGTTGTGACAGAAGGAATCTAGTGTCCAAATTCCCCAGCCCTTCCATCACATGGAGGCTTTTTGTTTTCTGCTCATCCACATGTAGAAACTCTCTGGAAATGACAGCTACTTATTTCCTTGCACAAAATAGTTTTCTGTTACATTTCAGTCCTTTGGGGGGCGGGGGGAATTATATGATTCAGTAACAGTCTACTTAATCAGGAATTCCTAAATGTCTTGGACTGCTACCCTGCAACTGCCCATTTCTGATTCCCAAATAGATGTCACTTCTGATCAACAGGCAACCCTAATAAAATTAAGTAGTTCATGGAGTTGACTGGATCGACTCTAATTACTTTTTGCAAAGAGTTCTCAGCCTCTTGGGTATAAGCCCAGAAGCTCATAAAATGAGGCAAAGAGAAAGCAGAGAGCTTGAGGTTGAGGATAAAAGAATTAGTTGCCTTCTCTTTAATGTGTTGTATATGGATATTGTAAGTATTGCTATAGCCTGAGTTTGCCCTCCATGTACAGAAAGCCTGCTTCCTAGTTAGGCTCTCTGCCCAGAACTTCATAACTTCCATCAATCTGGATTCACTTCTGCCTCTTTAATTTATTGCCCACTCCACGTGCATCGCCAACTGAAGTCTAAGTAGATCATTTTTTCACATCTTCATTTACTTAAATGACATAAAAATTAACCTTCTGTTAAAGGAAGACTCTTTTCCCCATGAAATGAGGGCATAAATTGATTTTTTTTCTCCTTGCACAAAACAGCTTGAAAGCTCTAACATGTGTGTTTTACAGCCTGCATATTCTCCTCCCCAATAAATTCTGGCATATTGTTCTGCCTCTTTAGTTAAGTCTGTTGCGAGGAACACTTAAGAATCTTAAGAATACGCAGAGGGAGAAGAAGTGCTGTGATGTCAGAGTTCATTTTCAATGACCCTGCGACCAAACACCTCCCATCTGTGAAGTGTCAGGAGAATTAAGCGCTATTGTTCCGCTCCTTAACGTCTCTGTTTGGAGAGCGTTTTAGTTTGGTTTAATTTCTACATTGTGCACATCTTACATCTGAGTTTGAACAGGAGCCATTGCTAGGGACAATCAGATTAGAATATCAAACATCAGTCCCTCCGAATTGCATGGTTCTTATACGATATCACAACCTGTGCATGCCGAATCAGCCCATACGCACATGTTTTTTTGTAAGACCGTCCGTGTATCCCCCAAAAGGAAATCAAATCCACATTTAAAACAGGTCATAACACTACTTCTAATTCAAGCCTGCATTGTCATAACCATTTTCTCTTCCTCCCTCCCTCCCTTCATTCTTTCCTCCTTCCTTTATCAGTTTCTCTTTCTTCCCTTCCTCCTTCCTCCTTTGTTTCTTGCTTCTTCCCTTCCTTCTTCTCTCCCTCCTCTGCCTCCCTCCCTCCCTCTCTCTCTGTCTTCCTTTCTTTCCTTTTCTTTTAAGAAACGTGGCAAAAAGTCAGCAATATGGAAATGTGGGAAGAATGCTAATTTTTAGAGAAAAAATAACTCGTGGTTGTGGCCCCAGGACAGTGATGAGATACACCGTCTTCTGACAGCCTTCAGGGTTGCTGGGACCAGTGCACAGTGTCAAACGCTCCCAAGTGTGTGTTTTGAGGATGCACTGAGAATGTCCTTCCTATCCTTTGCAGCACCCCATGGGCCTTCTTTTACGATTGGAAAAGCTATCTGGCTCCTCTGGGGCCTGGTGTTTAACAACTCCGTACCTGTGCAGAACCCTAAAGGGACCACCAGCAAGATCATGGTGTCCGTGTGGGCCTTCTTCGCCGTCATCTTCCTGGCCAGCTACACGGCCAACCTGGCCGCTTTCATGATCCAGGAGGAGTTTGTGGACCAAGTGACCGGCCTCAGTGACAAAAAGGTGAGGTCACTTTGCTTTCGTCTCTGCCTGAGGAGTTAATCTCCAGTGTTCCCCGCTCAGAGGATGTTTTCCAGTGAGTTTTCCAAGAGCCGACTGAGGGCAGGAGGAGAGGGGGCTGCTAGGGATGAGATGGTTGGATGGCATCACCGACTCAGTGGACCTGAGTTTGAGCAAACTCCAGGAGATGGTGAAGGACAGGGAAGCCTGGCATGCTTATGGGGTCGCAGAGTCGGACACGACTGAGAGACTGAACAACAGAGGAAGTAAATCAGGCTCCCGCCACCCAAATCGTCAACTCTAAAGCACAGATCTAGGGGGATTTTCTTTTCCTCTTAACTCCATTGGGTGTATTTTGAAAGGTTTCAGGAACAGAAGCTTAAGCTTAGCTCTCCTAAGTCTTAAAAAGTCCAAATCTAAGTTGGGAACATAGTTTCCCCTGGTAGTCATCCCTCATATTTACATGATTGTGTTGACGATGCTTTCTGAGCTCTGACTCAAGTCACAGCTTAGGGCAGAGGCTTCCCTGGTGGCCCAGACAGTAAAGTGTCTGCCTGCAATGTGGGAGACCTGGGTTCGATCCCTGAATCAGGAAGATCCCCTGAAGAAGGAAATGGCAACGCACTCTAGTACTCTTGCCTGGAAAATTCCATGGATGGAGGAGCCTGGTAGGCTACAGTCCATGGGGTCGTAAAGAGTCAGACACGACTGAGCGACTTCACTCATCTTGTCATGGAGAGGACGATGGTGAGGAAGCTCCATTAACCTTGGACCAGGAGAATCCTGGGTGAAACTCTCGGCTAGAGGTACCTCCCAGTTCTATGACTTTGTATGAGTCTCTCATGCTCCTTGCCTTGGATTCTTCATCTCTGACTTGAAAACAAAAATCCTCTCTAAGCCCTGCATGCATGCTCAGTTGTGTCCGACGCTTTGTGATCTCACGGACTGTAGCCCACCGGGCTCCTCTGTCCATGGGATTCTCCAGGCAAGAATACTGGAGTGGGGAGCCATTTACTCCTCCAGGGGATCTTCCTGGCACAGGGATCAAACCCAAGTCTCCGCACTGGCAGGCAGATTCTTTACTGCTGAGCAACCAGCGAAGCCGTTCTCTGAGCCCTGCCCAGATACAAAACTGACAGGTCCTTTACACCACGTAACCAATCAGCCCATGGCCAGCACTCCTGACTCACCTGAAATTTCTTCAAGGGATGCAAAAGGAATACAGAACCGGTTTGTCACTTCCCACTGGTTCCGTTTACTCAGAGACACCTCCAGGCCTGCCTCGTGTGTCTATGCGTCCCACCACCAGGGAGACAGGGATGTTAACACCTGTTCTCTCCATTCCCCAGTGCCATGTAACGGCGGCTGTGGGGTGTGAGTAGCTACTCAGAAATGCACGGGGCGGAAGAAAGGAGGTAAACTGGGTACATCCTTCTATTGGAATTTTAGTCTCAGGAAGCAGACCCTGACTTGCTAAGCTCAGCAGTGTGGGGACTTGCTGCGCTGCAAAGATTTTCTGTCTTGTGTACGAGTATAATTTGTCTCTTTATAAAATCTCACTATCATGTCTTGTTGGCACAAGGCTACATATATCCTTTCGGCATTCATCAGCAGACCGCTGAATAGAAAATCAGCCCATGAAAAGCCTTTAACAGCTTATCCATGACTTACAGGGTGGTTGAATGAAGTGCAGAGAAGCCTGTCATCAGAGAGATGGTGGGGGGCGGGGGTGCTGGGGTGCGTCACCGTCACAGAGGCACCATCACCCTCTGGAGTCATTGGCCTCTGATGGCTCCCCGTCAGAAATGTCACTTGAGTGAATGCCACTGTCCTCATTGTGCTGACAATGCCCTGCGCTAGCTGGCCCATCCCCAGGTGTCCCCTCCCTCTCGCTTGCGGAGGCCCCCTCTCTGTCCCTTAGACATCCAAGTGTTTCCACCACAGCGCCCTTGCACTTGTCAGGTCCCCTGCCTGGAGTGTTCTTTCCCCTTAATTCTCATGGCCGGCTCCTCCTGGACATCCAGGTTGTAGGGGAACTACCACCTCTTGGGAGAATCTTGCTGGTCACTGTGGTCAACTTGGCAGCCTGGGCTTGTGGTCTTGTGAAACTTAAATTCCAGTAGGAAGAAATAAACAGCACCTGAGTAAATGTAATGGACAAGGAAATTCCAGGCAGGAGTAAGTGCTGTAAAGGAGAGGATACTGATGAGATTAAAATAGACGGGGGAAGGGGTAGCAGGGTTCTCTGACACTTGGTGGATGCTCAGCGACAGGTGGCCAAAGTATCAGAGCTTTAACGTTAGCATCAGTCCTTCCAATAAACATTCAGGACTGATTTCCTTTAGAATTGACTGGTTTGATCTCCTTGCATTCTAAGAGACTCTCAAGAGTCTTCTCCGACACTGCAGTGAGAAAGCATCGACCATCCTGTAACCATGACTGACCAGGGTGAGAATATGAAAGCCAGCTGTTCTGCCGCTTCCGGGCAAACTCCGAGGTGCGGTTTACTCTCCTTGTGGGTTCAGGCTGAGGTTAAGACTTTGCCTGTAGTCACACCCTTGCCTGGCTTCCTCCCCTTCCCTAACCTCCTTCCCCTACTTCCTTTCTGATTTCTCCTGGAGCCCTTACTTCGTAAATCATGTTCACTCAGTTCCCTGGCTCACCTTAAGTGTATGGCTCACCTAAAGTGTATCTGGGGGTCAGCAGAGAAGGCCATCTACTTGGAGTCAAGAAAGGGGTTTCCTTCCCTCTCTGCCATGTACCAGCTGCATGATGCCCTTACTGTTGTGTAACCTTGCTGCGCCTTCTAGCTCCTCTCTGAACACTGGGGCATCATAGTTGCTGTGAGGATGAAAGGAAGCTGCCGATGAGATGTTCCCCATAGCCAATGAAGTCCTCTACAGATCCAGTTACATCATATATGGGAACAAATGTATAGCTCCTAGAATAAGTGACCAGAGGAACATTGGAAGCAGTGGGAAACCATGTTCTGGATGAGAAGATTTTTCAAGAAAGTATTAATAATCAGTAGGGACTTCTTTGGACTTCCCTGGCGGCTCAGTAGTGGAGCTGAAGGAGACGTAGTTTTGATCCCTGGGTCAGGAAGATCCCCTGGAGAAGGGACGGGAATGGAAACCTGCTCCAGTATTCTTGCCTGGAGAATCCCGTGGACAGAGGAGCCTGGTGGGCTACAGTCCGTGGGGTTGCAAAGAGTCAGACACGCAAGGACTGCTTGGTGGTCCAATGGCTAAGACTCTGTGCTCCCAGTACAGGGGGCCCGGGTTCAATCCCTGATCAGGGAACTGGATCCCACATGCCGCAACTAAGACCTGGCATAGCAAAGTAAATTAAATAAACACTTTTTTAAAAAAAGAAAGTAGTTGGCAGTGTATTTTACTTTTTGATGCTATTTTCAACAGCAAGGAGAAAAAAAAAAATCCCTTGCTACCTAGCTTTAGGTCTAATAACATGACTGCTTGTGGGAAAACTAATTAGAACCACTAATAATTCAACTGACCTTCTCTGAGTTGGAAACACCTAGTAACAGATACTGTATCCTCATGAGACCCAGCTCAGCTTCCATGCTCAGAGCGTTAGCAGCAAGCAGATAGCTCTTTTAATTAAATGTTTGATACAATTAAATAAACAGCAAAACTCCTGGAGTAAATAAGCTAAGTGCTCCCAGAAGATTAATGGCAAATACACCAAGAAAGTCTGCAAAATAAAAATCTATATTGAATCAATTTATTTTAGTACTGTATGCAAGTGTGTTTATTTTTTGTTTGTTTTAGTCATGAGTATCTATGTAACAAGTCAGGTTTATAATACTGTTCGGCCATCTGCAGTATTAGTACTTGCAGTAGGAGCCCATGGTGTGCTCTGATGACCTTGGGGTTAAATTATTCATAGGGGAATTCTTTCCCCTCGAAATTATTAAAGAAGTTGCAATGTTGGTGGCGACCCTTTTCAAAATGTTGGGTGTTACCGTGGTTGCTGAAATCTGTCTCTGGGAGACAGATTGCTGTAGTGGAAAAAGCAACACCATAGTGGTCAAATGAACCTAGGTTCAAATCCTGACCTACCATATAATAGTTGTATGGCCTTCAGAGTGTCCCATCTCCCCATGGCCTAATTTCCTGATAGAGGGGTTTAGTACCATTCTGGCAAGGTTGATATGAGGATTAGGGATAATCCTCACACCGTGCCTGGCACGTGGTAGGTAATCCTATTATAGATGTTATTTCTTCCCTCACCTCCCTGCTCCTCCAGCCCCTCTCTGCTGCCTCTCCCACCTCCGTCGTCTCATCCCTCTCCTCCCCCTCCTCTTGACCATCACCATTGCCTGATTCGAACCATCCCTCGTTTCTGGGGTCTGGAATGTAATTGCACTGAGTTGGCCTTTGTGACAGCCATGGAGGGAGTTGGAGACTGGACCTTGTAAGTGAGCCCATGAACGTGTTCTCATGGAATCACGCTGGGTGAGCCTGGATCACCACCCTCACTGGTTGAATGGAGGCCTCTGAGCCTCTCCTCCCTCTTAAGGGCTCAGAGAGTTTGATGCTGCATCCGGAAGCATGTGGCTTCCCAGGTGGCTCAGTGGTAAAGAATCCCCCTGCCAGTGCAGGAGACAGAGAGACATGGATTCACTCCCTGGGTTGGGGAGATCCTCTGGAATAGGAAATAGCAACCCACTCCAGCGTTCTTGCCTGGGAAATCCAATGGGCAGAGGAACCTGGTAGGCTACAGTCCATAGGGTTGCAAAGAGTCAGACATGACTGAAGCAACTTAGCATGAACACACGTGGTCTTATTGATGGGGGAGACCTTTGCACCACCCCTTCCTGGGCTGGAGCCCACATTTGTTTCTTCTGCACTCGGAACTCTCTAGAATAAAGTTACCTTGGAAATCCATTCCTGTAAGAAACACATAGAGAGCACATCATGGGAAAAGTAGNAACCAGTCCATCCTAAAGGAAATCAGTCCTGAATATTCATTGGAAGGAC